ACTGATCTGCCTCGCCCGGGAAGAGCGCAATGATGGTGCCAACTTGGGCCAGTGAAGCAACGTCCTCCACAACTAGACTGAAGAACAAAACGGCAATAACTTGTCTGTTCCCCTTCCCCTGATTCCCCATGCTGTTCCCCTCCCCCAATTTCCCAATAAAATCTTTTAAAAAAAAACAACAAAAAAAACCCCCAAAACCAAGATGCTATAAATTCAGCAATGCGCTATGGAAGGCTTTTCCATGTGGAAGACGGATACAGCAATAGCAGGAATTAGTCTGTAAAAACCACAGTGATCTCTGAGCAAAACAATTGTGAAAAAGTCTGTGTTAGGGAGCAACAAATTAGAATAAGAGCTGATGTCACCTTGAAACACTTTTAATAAATTCCCAAGTGTTCATTAAATTTGTGTTATATCCTGTTCTCTGAACCAAACTGATGCACTAAACAAGTTTTATGGTTCTATATAAAGAGTTTCCTATTTTCCCAAGTTAAAATCATATTTCTCTCTTTCTGTCAGTACTACTGAAGATGTTTCCATTCTACTGTTGGATTCAATTATTCACCAAGTCATTTTTGTCAGTTACTGTCACTAAAACATTCTAATGGCTTAAGACAGTGGTCACACTGTGTGAATCTGTTTTTTAGGTACATGGCGTCATTGGTGAGTTCACCCAGTTCTTAATAAAAAATATATATGTATAGATATAATGGCTTCATTAAAACAAACATACTGCTAACGGTGGCTGATAAGCTACCCAAGCACCCAAGCACAAGGTAATTACTTCACTCCAGAAGCAGTTGAAGGAGAAAGGAGGAATATGCCAAAAAAGCAGAATGGAATTAATGGACCTAAAGAGAAAACGCTGAATAGATCATCTCAGTAATTATAAGTCCCGTATTTACCAGGTAACAAAATTCCTTAAGAGCCCATCGTGTATCCAGAAGATACTCAGAGAGATGACGGTAACTCACAAGCCAGCATTCCTCCTGCTCACCTCTTAGGGCTGGCCACACCTCACAGGGGATCAGGAGGCACACGCTGCACCACCCAGAGCCCCGCTAAACTGCTTTCATCGTCCAACTGTGGCAAAGGGGAAAGAAAGATGCTTACTTGGATGTCACAGGAGAAGATGACCTCTTAGCAACGCCTCCTGGAAATTCGCATCTTCTCATGGGGGACCCGGGAGACATGCTGGGAGTGGAAGTTGTTGTTCGTGGCCCCCTCTTCATCTTCTCTGTCTGTAGGGGACACAGAATAGGACAACCATGGCCCACACTTAGCAGTACTTTTACCATTTCTAAAAATACCCCAGATGGAAGCCATGTACAGCTTTCTTTCAAAAGCATCCATATGAAGCTATAGTGCTCCCCACAATGGGACTATTTGCAGAGAAGCACCATGAGGACATCATATTTAGGTCATCTAGTTAAAAAAAAATCGCCTCAAAATGCAAAGATTTCCTTCTCCTTGTTATCTTGCAAAGAGCTAACCATAGAACCATGTTATGGTCTTGGACATGTAGAAACTGAAAAAAGATCTATAATCACTAGAAAAAAGTTACAGGCGGGTGCAAATGTAGTTATAACACCAAGACACTGAGCTGTGGATGCTAACAGCGTACCCTGTATAACGGCCTGCAACCCCACCCATCCGTCTGTCTTCCCCATGGCCACCCTTGGCAGGAGGCCGGAGGCATGGACCTCAGTGCCTGGTCCACAGTGGGTGCTCCACAAGGGTGCTTCCCTCCTCTCTCTATCGCACATTTCCGCAGCAAATCCTCGTTTGGCCCCCACACCCACATATGTCAGTCCACTTCCATGGTAACCCACCCTACAGTAAAACCAGAGGGTCTAAAACACTCACTTCTCATGTGAGAACCTCAGGGCCACACTGGATTTAAAAACGTAAATAACAGTGTTATAAAAATAAATGCCCAATAGTACAGTAGTGTGGTGGTTTTAAATTAAGTCCATACATCATTGGATGTTCCTCCCTTCAATAGGTGGAGCTCAATTCCCTCCTCGCTGACTGTGGGTTGGTCTGAGTGACTTGCAAAAGTGCTGGTGTGCAACATCTGAGGCTGGTGTATAAAAGGGGTTGCAGCTTCCCCCACTCTCTCTCGGATCTCTTGCTCTGGGGGAAGCGAAGTCATGTCATTTGGACACTCAAGCAGCTCTATGGAGAGGTCCAAACAGTGAGAAACTGAGGCCTCCTGCCAATGGCCATGTGAGTGAGGTGTCCTGGAAGAGCCCCGGCCAAGCTTTCAGGTGACGGCAGCCCTGGCCACCATCCCGAGCACTCCCTCAAGAGACCCTGACCAGAACCACTCAGCTAAGCTATCCGCAATTTCTGACTGATGACGTGATAAACATTTGTTTTAAGCTGCTAAGGTTTGGGGTAATTTATTACATAACAAGTGAAAACTAACAAAATTCCTAAATAAATATACATAATTGGGGGTGCCTGCTCAACATTTGTTTTGCTGATGGTATCAGTATGACAGCAAAAATGTTTAAAGGCCACTGCTGTGGATGAAGGCTGACCTAGAACTTCAGTTCTAGTTGCCTACAGAGGCAAGACTGGTTCAGAATCAGACATCTTTAGTAAGCAGAGAGAAGACACTCCGAATTTCCTTCTGTCTTCTGTCCTCTGGAGGGCAGGCTATGATGAGCAGAAGGTCTTTAGGAATTTGCCCCAAGGCACTAAGATTGAGGAGGGTACAACGATTTCAATGATTTTCAAACACTGGGTGAAATTTTAAACCAAATCTGCCCCTTGAGTAGTCCCTGGAGACTGAGAGACACAGAGAGCCAGGCGGAGCACAGGAAGTGATCACACTGTCGGATAATCTGGTTCCAGGGGTGAACGGGTGGGTTTAAACCTACCGGAGAGGCCTCGGCTCCTTCAGTGGCCGCTTTCCCAGCATCTCCTACGCTGGATGTAGATGTAGACTTCTTCCTCTCAGTGCTCCGAGTGGGAGAAGACTTGTAAGATTTAAGAGGGCCGGCAGGAGCTACACGAGGACAGGCATGGAATACTAGAGAGTTACAGTGTAACAGCCAGAGAGACAGAGAGTACAGGCAGAAAAGGCAGGGAGTTGGGAAGAACACCGCATTTCTGTTAGAACGTGACACAGGCAATCCACAGTCTCAAAATACCACCATAGTTTTTCTCATGTGCACAGAAGGGACTCTATCTTAAAAGACTCCCACACTCAATGCGCATGAGTCCAGTTCGTTTTAGGAGTTCAAAGTGTGGGCTTTGGAGCCACACAGACTTAACACTGCTACCTAATAACTGGATCACCTTGGGCAGGTTACTTAACCTCTCTAAAGGTCAACCTCCTTGTGTGGAAGGAGTTGACACAGCAAGGCTGACTGCTGTCCTTGGAAAAGCCTTCTTACAAGGTTGGCCCTTGATTTCAGGAGGATTCTCACCATTAACTGATGAGTCTAAGCTGTACAAACATGGCTTCTGCTTTCCTCTAGAGTCTGGAATTGGGGTCTGTGCCTGGCACGGGTGCCTACGTGACCAGCCCCCAGTAAAAACCCTAGGCACTGAGTCTCTAACGAGCTTCCCTGGTTGGCAACACTTCATGTATGTTACAGCTCCTTGCTGGGGGAATGTGTCCTGTGTCTATACTGGGAAAGGACTCTGGAAGCTTGTGCCTGGTCTTTCCCAGACTTCATCCCGTGTGCCTTTTCCCTTTGCTGATTTTGCTCTGCAGCCTTCCACTGTAATAAATCAAGGCTATGAGTCCTCCTGGGGAATCATCGATCCTGGGAGTAGTCTTGGGGACCTCCTGACACATTCCTCTTCTCAAAATGGGGATATTTCCTTCTTCCCAGGAAGTTTTTGTTTATTTGTTTGAGCTATGATTCATATACGATAAAATTCACCCTTTGAAAACTCAGTGTTTTTTAGTATATCACAAGGTTGTGCAACAATAACTACAGTCTAATTCCAGCACATTTTCAACACCCCCAAAAGAAGCCCTGTACCCATTAAGCATTCACTCCCCTTCCCCTTCCCTCATTCCCTAGCAACCACTAATTTACTGCCTCTCTGGGTTTGCCTATTCTGGACATGTCATGTAAATGGAGTCATGCAATTTGTGGCATTGTGTGTCTGGCTTCTTTGAGCATAATGTTTTCAAGGTTCATCCTATAATAGGTATCAGTAATTCATTCCTTTTTATGGCTGAATAATATTCCGCTTTATTGGTATACCACCATTTTATTTATCCACTTATCTGAGACGGACATTTGGGTTGTTTACACTTTGTGGCTATGATGTATAAAGTTGCTAAGAACACTCGTGTACAAGATTTTGTGTGAACATATATTTTCAATTTCTTTGCCTCTATACCTAAGAGTGGAATTGCTGGGTCATATGGTAACTCTATGCTTAACTTTGTGAAGAACTTGCCTGACTGTTTTTCAAAGCAACTGCACCATTTTTTCATTTCCACCAGCAATGTATAAAGGTTGTAATTTCTCCACATCCTCACCAAGACGTATTATTTTCCTTTTTTCTTTGCATTTTAGCCATCTTAGTAAATGTGAAGTAGCATCTCATTGTGATTTTTCATTTGCATTTCCCTAATGACTAATGATGTTAAGTATCTTGTCAGGTGCTTATTGGTCTCCTGTGTATCTTCTTGGGAGAACTAGCACAACCACTTGGGAATAGCTAGGACTAGTAGAGGATCATATGTCATTTACTATCTTGGGAACTGAGACCAGACCTACCCTAATGTGGACATAGTGTTGCTCGTGTGCAAACAGAGAATGCCAGTCCTCACTAACCTTGCCATGATGATTTGATCCCCTTTGTTCAAGGAAGGGCTTTGATGGTATGGCCCAGTGTTTCTCAGACATCAGTATGCAGATGTGGTGGGGCCTGAGAGTCTGCCTTCCTAACAAGCTCCCAGGTGATGCCAATGGTGCTGGTCGGTGGACCAACCCCTGAGTAGCAAGGCTCTAGACCAGCGGTTCTCAACCTGTGGGTCGCGACCCCTTTGGGAGTCGAACAACCCTTTCACAGGGGTCGCCGGGTACTCGTATGTGGGCGTATCTGCATGTGGGCCTGGAGATGGATAGAGGAGCGGTGTCTTGGTTCCTAAGACCATAGAAAATATGTGTTTTCCGATGGTCTTAGGCAACCCCTGTGAAAGGTTGAGAACCGCTGCTCTAGACATTTGTTGGCTAAGCTCTTATCGTGCCAATCGTTGTGCTAGCTCATTTAATCCTCATGACAATTTAAAATAAATCCATTTTATAGATGAGAAAACTGAGGCTTAGAGAGGTTAATTAACTTACCCAAAGTGGTAAGAACTACTAAGTGGTCGAGTTGGTTATGGGACTCCAGAGACTATGGTTTATAGGCTACTTTGCCAAACCGTCTCTTTAAAAAAGTCTACTAATCTCCATAGCTCATGAAATAGATTTTTTTCTAATCCACATGCCCTCAATAAAATAATGTACTCACCTTTGTGACACTTAAAAGAAACACAGCAATAGCAAAACACTGATAGATAGAAAATGTAACGAACTGTTGAAGACATTTCACAAAACCAGCAAATGGGAAGCAAAATACAGTAATACCTTGATTTGTGAGCATAATTCGTTCTGGAAACAAACTACTCGTATTACAAGACATTGCTCATTTACCACGTTAAAATGCATTAGAAATGTCTGCTCGTCTTGTGGAACACTCGCTAACCGTATTACTCGCAATCCAAGGCTTTACTGTACATAAATTCAAGAATAACTTGTAGGCCGACCAACACCACTTCTGGCATTTTCCTCAGTGTCACCAGCATGGCCTCTTTTACCTGAGTCATTGGCCTGCTCAGAGAGCATGAATGTACTTCTGCTTCTGGCTAAAGAAGCCTGTGTAGGTGTCAACAGTCGCATAACAAGAAAGGTTTCCGTGGGACTAAGGTGCATGCGATGAGCTGAGGGACGGAATCAAATAAAATTTTTTAAAAAGCAAAATTAAAACAAAACAAAAGAAAATGCTTAAAATGACACAGTGCATGATGCAAATTAACTTTTGGGTGGTAGAACAAATGTGGAAAATAAAAATATTCTCGCAACAGATGGCTTCAGAGTTCGTCATAGGAAAATAAAACAAATGATGTGTCATCCAGAGTGTGAAAGTGCGTTAATCCTCTTGAGGGTCAGAAGTCACTAAATATGCCATTACAGTACTACCTGTGTTACTCAAAGAGAATGAGCCTGTCTCCCGTGACGCATATGGACTCAAGAAACCATTTACTCATCAAGTAGACCTAATATTGAAAAAAGATTACTCCTAAAAGATTAGGTCCTATGTTGAGAAATATTTCATAGCACACTGATTTTGTTAATGTATAAATATGTATCCTTTCATACTTTTTCCATGTAAATAAGGGAAAAAATTAAGTAAGAAGCATAAAAATAAAAACAGTCAACTGATTATCAGCTTTAATGGAGGTAACAGTATTCATAATAAAAAATTCAGTGACTGAAATGTCATTTTGATGGTTTGGGAATGTAGTATATGGTAATGGATTAACTTTTCCATTATTTTGTATTCTTTGGGTACCCAATAACCACTGAAGGGTTTGGGAATTAAAATTTTCCATTTATAATTCACAAGCAGATAATTCAGTTGCCAACAAAATAACATACTGACATCTTTATATATTAATCAGCAAATATGAATTTAACATTAATTTGTAACCATGTGAATTCATGAAAACATAAGGGATACACTCACTAATGGAACAGCTATATAGAGTTAAGAGCATGTGGATTTCTCATCCAGCTATTAATTAATTCAAGGTTCCCAACGCTTATCGATGAGCTACATCAGAGATCAGCCACACTGACACTTATGGGATCTCAGACACACGACAGGTTTCTGTGCTGGAGGTGCACGGTCAATGCCACTGAAAAACAACCAGGAAGACACACTGGCCTCTTCAAAGTCACAAACATCTTTCTGCTCACCCTTTGGTGACCACTTGTGTTAAATACTCCACTGGCACCTGACACTTCTTCAATGATGCTTTAAAATACACATTTGATCCATGGAGAGCTTCCCTTCCTTAACCTACACACTCTGAAAGGTGCAAATTCAGACTTTCATTGACTAATCTGAGCCTCCGTTAGGACTTGAGCAGTTTTAAATCTTTTCAGTTTCTGGAACTGGCACGCGTCCTGTACATATCATCTCGTACCTCAAAACGGAATGCCGGAAAAGGCGACCCATCCTTTTCCTCTTTTCAAGGCTTCCTATTAATTCTGAACTTCTGTTTTCAAAACAGGAGTGGGCAGGCCTACAAACCACAGACAGTAGCAGAGCCCCATTTTTTCACACATCTAAGTCTCCCACGTACCTCTGCCTCATCAATTCTGCTGTTTCTGGCTAATCGACTATATCACATCAATAACCAGGCAGTTTTCCGCCCACTGGTCAATTAATTCCGGGGCAGGGTAACTCCTACATGCACTGTAGAAGACGGAATAGTCTCTTCAGACTGGGAGAACAGCATTAATTCCTGTCTCAAACAACACCCACCTGGCCCTAAAGGGCAATGCTACTTTCCAAAGTCCTATTAGTGAGGCCCTGGGGCTCCCACATTCAGACCACAAGGCTAGGATAATGGAGGTATTCGCAGAAGGCTCAAGAGGGGCTCTCACAAAGACTGGCATTAAGACACTCATACTAGAAAGAAGAAAACTGGAGAGACCAGGTCTACACAACACGTTCACTTGCCTCGGTCTGGGGAATAGGATATTGCCACGGTGGATGAAGACAGGCGCTTACTCATGGGAGGCTCCGTCTGCTTTGGCAAATTCATGGTTGATGTTGACAGTTTGTCACATGCTGCAGAGAAACGCATTAAAGACATTGGTATCCACACCAGTGTAGACAGAAACACATATCCCAGTGTTCTTCCTGTCCTCATCCACATGCCTTCTAAACCGCTTCCATCATCCTGTTATCTGCCTGGCCAATTGGGAAATGCCTGGGCCACAGCCACCATCGGTCTGAAGCAAGATCTTCTCTTCCATATCTCAACTCTGTTCTTCTCTTCGATTTCAAATGTTCAACCTTACCCGACTATTCAATTAACACCATGCTAATTCCACCAGCAAATCATTTCCTTGTGTTCAGGGGCGTTTATTCAGTGTATTCAGACCACACTAAAACAAAACCAACCTGGAATGGAACCAGAGACAAATCACCACTGGAAAATGTTCTATGGCCTGAGACTGCGTGAGCTGAAACTGGACTTTTTCTGAAGGTTATCTATAGCTCAGGTTGGAGAGAAGTACGTAATTAGTAAGGCAAGGAGCGGTATTTAAAGCAAACAATGTTGAGTAGTTTCTTCCTCTTATCAAGAGATGGGTGTCACAGTGGCCTTTTCTCAGATGCTATGACTATTTATGATTACGATTTTAACATGTGGTCCCGGGTTTGGTGTTCTTAATTTCCAGCCATTATTTTAGAGTGGTTTTGAAACTAAACCATTATGGCAAATGAAGAGGTGCTGACAGGGCCCTGCCAAGCCATACTGGAGGCCCAGGCAAAAGGAAAGATGTGTGCTCTGGCTTTAAAAGAAGCGAACTCGTCAACAAGATTTTCAAAATCTACTCCTCTCCTCATGTTTTCAAATGAGAGAACTGCCACGTTTGACAGTTTCTTCTGATCACGTGATGATCTTAAAAAATTTTACGTAAGCTGAAGTAAAAGTATAATAAATTCTGTTTGGGTATAAATAGCATACTTAAACTTAAAATTATGTGCATTTCAATACAGCTACTTTTCAATTTTTCAGTATTTTTGCAACTACTTTAATGTTCTGGAAAAAAATTTAACCATTAGAAATTACATAAAGCCGTGTATATAGATAGGGGAACACATTTCCCCTTTTGCTGCAGGCTCCAATATGGCTCAGCATGACGATGATCTTTAGAAATGCCATATTTTGTTCATCGTGGATTGTTCTGCAGTAATTTTGATGTATTAAAGTATTATTTTATCTTGTAGTGAGACATTTGCTGTCCCCTTAAATTGTGTGCCACTCACCTCACCCTGGCCTGGGCCCTGGGTACGATTCCCAAGGGGTAATTATCAACTCTACCTGCCCCTCTCTATCGAGGGAAGGCCAGTGTCCACACTCCAGTTCACTCGGTTGGTGCAGCAAAGTCTCTGCTATTCAGTAACAACAATAAAGATTACGGTGGAACCAAGGATATTTATTCCTACTGCTCTAAATTGATCTTCTGCATTGCTGGGAAATACCGCATCCCTCTTACATCTTGTTTTTTCTTAGCCAGCCAAAGATGGGTTGACTTTCTCAAGTCATTTTTCAATGGGAACAAAGTTTTGCTAGTTCTGTTCTTGATCTAGACCTTAAGAATCTCCCAGGCTGGTATCCAAGGCGGAGAACCTATTAAGAGAGATGAAATCCAGACCAGAGCCCACCGATCTCCTCGTTTGGATCGCCTGTGTTAGTCCTGATAAACTCCCTCATACTCCCTCTCAAACCCATCGCATTAACACCCAGAGCTCTTGTGTGATCACAGGTTTTGGTAACCAGAAGTGACTGCAACACAAAACTATTTTTAATGCCTCAAACCAATGATTAATGAGGGTGTGAAAGATCTAAATGTACGAAAGTCAAACACTAATAAGGTTTCTCAAGGCAGGAGTTAGTGAGCGAAGGATGAAATGTCTCCAGAGCACTAGGATGTAAGGCATGCACAGCTCCATGATGACAGAGGAACAAAGAAATATGGGCATGTCATTCACATCGCTAGGAAAAAAGTTCTAAGGGGTCAGACTAATAAATCAATTGTAACAGTGCTGAGACAGACACGGTGATGGAGGAGGGTGACCAGGACAGTAATCACAAAACGCCATGGCATGGTGATGCTGAGATATACCGTTGGTGGGCTCGGCAGTGGCGGCAGCGGTTCCTGCGTCCAGAGGGAGGGTGCTGGCTGCTAAACCTAGAGGAGGGGGTGGGGCATTTTCTGATTCACCTACACAGCAAAAAAATCAGAGCAAAGAAAGGTAAAAGTTGAAAGTCCCAACTTCTGGTTGATTTTAGTTTCTAATGAGCAAATTAGAAAAAGTAACTGGAATGGGTTACTGACTTCTCAAAAACAGAAAAAGTAAAGTATATTCACTAACAAAAGGTTAAAAGCACAATGCAGCCAAGGCAAGAAAGTGTACTAGAAATGTAAATCCCTTTGCTCTAAGAAAGAGCTAGTACGCAACTCATGCGTAATACAGTGACAGGATCACGGAAAAGTAAGGCGCTGAACAGAGGAAAAAGCCACCCAGACTAGTAACAATCCATACATTAAACATTTGAAAATTTAAAGATGAATATGAATTGGATAATGAAATAAGTAAGTCACCTTGAAACAAAATCAAAAGAGCAACAAAAATTAATATGATGAGGGAAAACCCTCAGCCCATTTTAGAGGGTAAATGCTGCCCAGCCTTTCCCGGCCATGCAGCAATGGTGACTTAGCCCCCTGCCATTGAACTTCTCTGAAATCAGATTATCCCTGAGCTTGCCAGGTGGATCCGGTTCATCAGATTCCGCATTCATTTTCGTTGCTTTCCTTTTGCTTTAACTCACAGCCCAGTTACTGCATCAATTGCTGTTTGCTAGCAGAAAGAATGCACAGACCCCCTTCACAGCCAATGCATAAACCGGATGCTTGGCCATTTGAAAACATCACATCTGAAAACGGTACCTGCAGATTGCTACAAAGCATCCCCCAGGTCCTGCAGCCTGTGCCCGCCATCTCCCGCCTGCCCTGGGGCCCTGCAATGCAGGGACAGCCCTACACTCACCGTCATGTCCTCCAGGCCCTGCGGCCAGTGATGCTCCCCAAGAGCACTTCTTCTTCAGCTCCAGCTGCTGTGTGCGCTCCATGGAACGGCGTATCATCGCCTCCAGCCGCTCCTGCCCAGTTCATGCAATGGAGAGCAAGATTAACCACCACCCCACAGCACTGGCTGCCGCTCCTCAGTGCTGGGGTGAGTCACCAAATGGGGCTCTGTGCTCAGCATCAAAGCCCAGGCACACGTGCTCTCCGCCAGCCACAGTTCTCAGTGGGTGGAGAGTAAACAATGCGGCTGGTGCTGCTCCCAGCCCCAACACCTCATCCCTGGGCGAGGCTGCTGCAGCCAGGCCTTGATTTATTTAAGAATAATGCCAGACAAGCATTAACTCCTTGAGGCCTGTCTCAAGTTCCGGTTTCCCCACTCAGTAGGAGAACTGGAATTGTGCTCTGGAACCAACTGCATGCTTTCTAGTGGAAAATGCACAAAGCATTTGGATTTGAGAAAAATTTAATAAAATATAATTTGAATTGTATAGCCTAAGTCTAACTTTTGGGGGCGATATAATGACTCTGAGATCTATTTTGCAAAGCCCCATTTTCATCTCCGAGTTTCTTAAAGGGGAATCAATTGTTTTCCATATTGTAACACTTTTCTGCCTGTTTTGGGGATAATGCTACATATTTCAAAATTTAAAAGACAAGAGTAGGGAATCTTCTGGCCACAAAAAACATCTATGCATTCTGAGTTAGATGGGAGGAAGAGAAAAACAAGTGGCCAGAAGAGAAAAACAAGTAGGTTTTTCTTAGCAGAGCCTTTATCAAAAGCACCCTGCTGTATTAATCACCCCAATTTGTCACTTTTATAAACTTGCCCTGACTGCTGGCAAATATTTCCTTGACACTGGAGTTCTAATCCTGCACTCCCCACAACCCCGATGACACTGCAAATACCAAACCCTCTCCCAGCCTCCACTGGAGGAGGCCAAAGCAAGGTAAACAGTTACACTGACAGCCTCTGGCCCTCACAAAACCCACCCTGAGGTGCTCCAGGAAATGGGCGAATCCTAGCCCAACTGCAAAGCAAAAACATACTCTCTTTTCATGGCTTAAATAAACAAGCGAAATTAAGTTAGGGCAGCACCAATTGAGGAGCTGTGACTTAGGGTCAGGGGAAGACTCCCTTATTTCACTTACTAGAAACAGAGAAAGGTTTCCAGTACGATGCCTGGATCTAGCCCTTTACCTACACCAGAGGGATGAGATGTGCATTTTCCACATCTTGGCCTCCTCCTCTGCATAATTTCTCTCTGAATAGCACTTTGCTAAGAGACAGCCTCTCCAGGGACCTGAGAGCAGAAAGGGTTTTTTTTTTTTCTCCTCCCGTAAATCTCCGATTTGTATTTGCTCTAGATTTTGGCTGAGACTCTGTAATCATGAGCGTGCATTTCCTGGCAGAGTCCTTTCCTCACCACCCTGACATATTAAATTCTGACAGCCAACCCCAGGGGTCTGCCCAAGGAAAGTTGGGGGCATAGAGGGACTAGAAATTCACTATTGGATATTTGAAGTATGGTTGCTTTGACTGGAGCTGAATAATACTTCATTAGATGGATTTAACATAAAGTGTTTAACCAATGACCTAATTTAAATGTTGAAACCTTTCACCTCAGAGTGAATTTACTATTCAGTGGGCTATGGGAGATTTCCTACATGCCAGAAGGACCTCACAAGGTGTAGTCCCTCATCTACTAGGACACCGATGAGAACAAAGAACACCAAGATTCGCCAGGCCAACATCACCAGCTATCTAGGGGCATAATTAGAAGGAAATGCTCAACCAAACCCAGACCTCCTGGACTCTTTAGTTCCCTTTAGAAAAAATACCTCTCCATCCAACCTCAATCCATTGAGCTGCTCCAAATTCTACCACTAGAGATTCATTCCTTTTCATAAACAGGCTTATGAAAATGAAGCTATCCCTGAGAAGACACAATCACTTTGTGTCACCCACTTTTGGACAGATGATAAAAAAAAACAGGTGTCAACCAAGCTCCATGATAAGGGGACTTATGGAACTCAAAGTCGGTCAGAATGGGGTAATTCACACATGTCAAAAACAAAACTGGTCCACCTCACTCTTGTTAGAGGTTAGTCCTACATAGGTCAATATTACCATGTGTGTGTGTTTCTGTTCCTTCATGTGCTAGAATGGAAGGAATCCTGGATTTGGAGTCAGGAGATATGGATTCAAGTCTCACCTCTGCCTGCCACTTTTTAGCCCTGTAACCTTGAGTTAATTGTTTAACATCCTTGGCATAAGTTTCCTCATCTACAAAACGGAGACGATATTACCTATATGAAAACACTCGCGTCTACAAGGTACTGACCAGCATAGTAAGTCCTGAGCCAATGCTACCTGAATCCGAATCTGAACAGGAAGATGACTAACAGGGAGTAGAGCAGTGGTTCCCAAACAAGAGTGAGTCTGCACCAGAATTCCCAGAGGGATTGTAAGACTACCATTGCTGGGCCCCGCCCTCAGAGTTTCCATTTCTGCAGCTTTGAGGTGGAGCCTGCAGAGAATTTGCATTTCTGACAAGCTCCCAGGCTATACTGATGCTGCTGATCCTGCGGCTACAGTGAGAAGCACTGGTCAGAGGAAAGGCTGAGCATGAGAGCGTTTGAGAAAGTTCGGTCAAATCAGAAGAACAGTATTAATAAATATTAGAGCTGCATGCCGCATACCACAATTCCTGCCAAGTTCTGGTGCTCCTGATGATCAATGGGGAAAGGGTGAGGCAGATTCTTGTCTCTAGACTGTCCTCTATTGGGTGGGGCTTAGCAGAAGGAAGGAAGGAGGAGATGTCACCCTTCACCCCTTGAGCTCTGGCCATATATATCTGCCTGATGAACTCAGGGGATGGACAATCATGACCAAGGTGACCCGCTGAGCTGGCTGAGCGGGACAGGGGTATGAAAGGCCTCCAGCCCGGCATGGCCCATGCACTGGCCGAGTCTGGGGCTCACCTGCACAGATGTGAGTAGTTACAAAGAGCAAGATCATGGCAACCTTAGGGACACGGAGCCAGGGCAGGGCTGGGGGGAGGCCTTTTATGAGCTCCAATATCAGATCCACAGGGGTAGGACTTGGTGAGCAACCCAAACACTTTCCAACAAGCTAGAGAAGCAAAATGGGCTATGATGGAATGAACCATCTTCCTGCAGAAGCTTCTCCCTGATTGACAGAGACAGGGCGTGACAAAAAGAACCGAAATGCAGAATCCCCATGGCCATGTGCCAGGCAGGCAGCAGCCCTCCTGAAGATCTCCACAGGGGGAATGCAGAGGGTTTCCTCTGCAAAGGGGCTCTTGCAGTGTAGGCTTGTCCATCCTCTCCAAAGATCACCCATGACAACACCAAACAGGCCTCTGCACAGGCAGAGCGCTGAAGTCAATGTGGTTAACAAGCCAGCTAGGTGTGGAAAGTCCCTAAGGTCCACCTGGGTCTCCCGGGGCCCCGAGGGTGGGAGCAGGTGGCAGAGGGAGGCTGCTGCTTCCTTGCGTTGCTGCACAACCATGGGAGGCTCAGCTCTCAGCTCTGTCCTGCTGTGACCAGGGAGAAGAGAGAAGCAAGCCTGACTTGTGTCTGTGCTGACGAGGGTCAGGCAGCATCCCCGTTCCCCACCATCACCATGTTAGTGATGAAAAGGAGCACAGAAAGCAAATAAAAAATTATCTGGAAGCGCAACCACTAAAGGTTCAGCTGCATCAGGGCCATCCATCTGGCATGATATTCCGTCATCTGCAAGAGGGAGGAGTCTGACAGCTTGACTTAAAACGCCTCTGGCACTACTGTTCAATAAAGAAACATTATAGAGAAAGAGTGCCTCAAAGGCGGACCCCTGTGACACTGTCAGGTGTCACAGGCTTGGGAAGTGTCTCCCATGACTACACAGTATGCCTCTCTTCCTGGAAACAGCAGTGACACACTTCCTCTGGAATCGGCAATTCCACAGGATGTCAGGAATCAAAACAGAGAGATGAGGGAGGAAGGGGACAAGCTGTGAGTCAAGGAATGGAGGATGGGAAGAAAACAGGAGTCCAGTGACTCATGGCAAATACACACAGGCTGGGGAAGGAGAGATCTGTCCCAGGTCACTGAGGCAGCCAGCATGCAGTGGCTGTCTCTTAGTTTGCACCACTCACTACCTTTTCTGGGTCGCTCCCTCTTGACCTTGCTTCAGACAAGGTCAGCTGAAGTCGCTGAAGGGACTCAAACATTTCTAGCATGACTCTGTGCTAGGTTCTTTGCTGGGCACTTCCACAAAAGTCCTCTTTGAATTCCTGTGATCACTTCTGTTTGGGGCTGAGAAGACTAAGTTAGAGGGTCATGGGGGGGCCTATGTGACTTGCCCCTGGTTATCAGCTGCCTAGTGGTAGAGCTGGGATTTGCACTGGGAACAAATGAAGCCACACGGTGACCAGGATGCAGCTGGCAATGATGAACTCTAGCTAAGACCCTTACTTAGACTGTCATTCGCTAAGAAGAACAAAGAAATCTCCATGTAAACGAGTGCTTTGCGGGCAAAGATGGGTGTAATTGTGTGTGTGCACGCATGTTTCTGTTTTTTAAATTTAAAAAAAAGGGAAGAGGTAAAGAAATATCACGATAAACCATTCAGACATTTAAAAATACTGAATGCATACAAATGTTTGTTTCCTATAGTGTTGGTGATTAAACAAGCCTCTATTGTTCAAACTAAATGATGAGTCATTATACCTTATGAATAAAAAATGATCATCACCTGATACAAAGCTATGATTACATCCTTAAAATACACTTAAGAAAATCTATACCCCAAATATGCTTCCTAAATATATTTTCAAAATTTAGTAATAAAGGACTCTATAGGGGTAATTACATTCCATTTCTTTTCTTAAAAAAAAAAAAGGTAAGTGGAGAAAAGGGATGATTAAAACAAGGAACTGCAGTAAAATTTAAATTTACTAGCGTCTTTGTATTTGAAGGTAGACTCTGATTTTCCAGCAGTGAATAACAGGATCAAGTTTTCTTCCACCCTCTAGCCCAGTGGGTCTCAACCTTCCTAATGCCGCGACCCTTTAATACAGTTCCTCATGTTGTGGTGACCCCCAATCATAAAATTATTTTCGTTGCTACTCTATAACTGTAATTTTGCTACTGTTATGAATCGTAATGTAAATATCTGATATGCAGGATGTATTTTCATTGTTACAAATTGAACATAATTAAAGCACAGTGATTAATCACAAAAACAATATATAATTATATATTGTGAAATATTTATTTCTAATTACAAATAAATGAAATTTTGTCTTGAAGCATGGAGACGGATAGAGGATCGGTGTCTCGGTTCCTAAGACCATCGAAAATATGTGTTTTCCCATGGTCTTAGGCAACCCCTGTGAAAGGGTCGTTCGACCCCCAAAGGGGTCGCGACCCACAGGCTGAGAACCGCTGCTCTAGCCTCATGTCTGCCCTATAGGCACGGACCCCCAGCATAATCCCCAGGTCTATATTACCCAGCCCCTATCCACAATCCCCTCCGAGTCCTAGGAGCCAGAGAAGGTTAGGTCTGGAAAAGGCCGTGAAGACTGCCAAACCCAACCCCCTCACTTCAGAGACCAACAATTCAAGGCCCAGAGAGGCCAGCTCGCTTGTCCAAGGTCACACAGCAAATGAACAGCTGAGATGAATGGACAAATCTTTTTGTTGCTATTCTGTGTCACGCTACTGAAAGAAGGCATGGGAGCCACTGAGCAGAGAGCTTAGGAGCGGATCTCTCTGGTACCCCAGAAGCGGGCAGGACACTCAGGCGCCCTGAGCACCCAGCCCTCTGTGGGCTGCTGAGATGGCCGGGGGGCCGGGGACCTCACCTCGTCCTCCCGCAGCTTCTGTCTCCTCTTCTCTTCCACTGCAGCCCTCTTCTGGTCCTCTCGCTGCCGCTGCTCCTCCAGTTTCCGCCATCGCTCCTCAATTTGCTTTTCGTACTGGAGCTTGGCTCTTTTCTGCTTCTCTAGGATCTGCTGCTCCCGGGCAGCTGGGAGAAGGAGAGTGGAAGAGAGGGGGCATTAGCAGAGCATTCCACACCATTTCAATCAAAAGCAAAAACGCAGAAGCAAGAGACCCAAAACAGAGCCCGCTGGGCTCGCAGGCTGCAGTAACTGAGATAAGGGGTTCTGGCACCTCGGCCACTAGCTGGGCAACCCTGGGTATGTTAACCACATGGTCTCTCTGTTTTGGTTTCCTCCTCTGTGAAATGGGGACCCTCATGTTTGCAACATCACAGTGTTGTGAGTACACAGGAAGTGCCCCTAAGTGGGAGCTGTTTCTATTATTGCTATCTTTAAGTCAGACTTGTCACACTGGCTAAGCCATACATACTCTGGTAGAGAAATGAGTTGTAAGGGTATGTTCATTCGAAACACGTTAACTGCGCACACTCCACGCACCCGACACCAAGCTAGGCAAAGGTGTGTAAACACATGAAGAAGATCGCCTTCCCCCATGAGAGGATTCCTAAAGGGGCCTTAACGCCACCTAGTCGAGTCAGGGAAAGGTTCCCTGCAGGACGCAATGCCTGAGCCAACCAGCAGGAGGCAGTCAAGTAGAACTTGAAAGCTGCTCATTTGTCACAATTCAGTGGGGAAATCACCATCTACCTACGTCAGCACTCCCTGTGGGGACACGCTGTACTTATCCATCGATAGCCTGCAAGAGGTAAGACAGCCTCTCTCGACCGGGTTCCTCATTCTAACATAGAAAATGTCTTAATGCTGATTTCTCAGTTCTCCCAAGGATGTCCCTTCTAGATGTCCTGGAGAGAGCCTCAGTGAGTGCTCACAGAGGGTGGCTGAGGGGCGGGGGCAGCGACTGGTTCTCATTCTTCACCATGCTACCCATAGCCTCCAGCACAGTGCCTGGAACACAGCGCAGGCTCAGTGTTTGCTGGGTGAGTAAATGAACTGCTCAGAGAATTACATGACTGTGAACGTGCCAGCCACGGTGTGGGTTCCCCAGTTCTCCGTGTTCATCTAATGACTGTCCTAGTTCTCATCCAAGTCAGTCACAAATTTCTAAGGCTCCTGAAATAAGACACCACCATATCTCCACTTCCTTGGAACTGAACAGGCAAAGGGCACAACTTACCAAGATATTTTTCTCTTTCTTCTCTTCTTTCTTTAGCTAGTCTTTGTCTCTCATCGGTTTTTAAAAACCCATCCATGCCTACAAGAAAGAAAACACAATGAAACACTTCTTCACTCTTTCTCTATCTGTTGAGTACCCAGGGTGGGTCTGGCCACAGGCACAGGTCACCCACCACCACTGCTTTGTCCTCAGAGGCCTGATCTGTCACTCCCCACACCACACACACACACACACACACACACACACACACACACACGGCCCACCCCGGGAGCTGAGGGGCGACAGCCACAACTTGCACACTTACCCACCAACGCCACCCACCAACGCCAGCCCAGAGAACCAAGCCCTTCCTCTAGTCCTCTGTCCCTGGGCTTGGCCCTGGAGGGGTCAGAAAATGTTACAAGTGACAAAGAGGCCTGGCAGTGTGCAGAAAAGCCAACCAGGCCTCCCTCAGCTTGGCTCCCAGGGGAGGGCACAAGCACAGAAGTAGACACGATCATGACATAGATAATGTGAACATTCTACCTTCTGGAAGGAACCAACTGTGGGGGGAGGGGAGGACATGTTTGAGTACAACACTCCAGTTTGATTTCGTTTCTGCTAAGTTTGTTCCAGTGTCACTCTTAGCATTTTAGAATCACAAAGAAGCAATATCTCTATTTGTCATTTAACTACCTACAAAAAATACAATGGAGCAAATGGTGGTTCCCCTAAAATATCTGGCTGGGACGCATCCCAGGAGCTCCTCACCTCTTCTACAGGCCCCTAAAGGGCACTCCAAATCAAAAATGAATGATCTTCATGGTCATTTTAGGATAGGAAATAATTTAGTGCTCTTGGTCACAATCGGTCAGTCCTGAGTATTATTTATATCATGTTCCAGAACAAGATTTGGGAGAAATTGGCTTTAGTGTTAGCACAACCAGTTCACTTTCCCAGTGCCTGGGCGCTTCTCCCTGGTAGCATGATGCGCTGACTTCATAGTGTGCCCCCAACAATGGTACCCTGCGGCCCCTCTCCCGAACACTCCTGTCTTGTCCAGGACAGGGACCTGGAGGCCTCGACTACAGTGTGGGTACGGGAGCACGGACGGGGATAGGCGCGATCAACACTGCATTGTCACGATTCCCCACCAGCATCTGCTTTTGCAGCCTGGATTATGGATTAGGGATATTACCTGGACAGATAAGCACTGGAAAATCAACTGGGACTACAAGTGCCACTCCCCATGTTTGTTTTCAGTCAACTCTATCATTACGAAGCTACCAACAACATAAACGGCATCAAAACCATCAAGGCCTGACTTAGCTTCTCACTGCTGGCCCCCACACTCTCTTCCCAGCTTGACCTCAGCACTGCCCCTTTCTCCCAAGCACCTTGAAGCTCAAAATGCCTCCTTTCCCACACCACCCCGGCACCTGTTTAAACCCCACACACTTTCAAGACCCCACAGGTCTCCAGGCCCCGGGATGCACTGTGCTCCCTCGTGGAGGTGGAACCCTAATTTCATTCTGCTTGGTTGGTGTGTTCTCCTCTAACTTGGTCTCTCTGAGGAGAGGGGGGGGGGCTCCGGAGCCACCACGGTGGCTGAAAGCATCTCTGGTTCACACAGCTCAGGCCACTGCCCCCACCCACAGTGGCCCCAAGGTACACACACAGTGCTCAACGGTAGGCATGCAGCCAGTGGAAGGGGAGCAGGGAGAAAGGGCCTAAATACTTTCAGGCTCCAGTCTCTACCTCACAAGTCTGATTAGTAAGAATATGTTCTGTGTGAAAAGCTACCAAGAAAAGTCTAGGAGCGCTGGTGAGCTGCTTGTGTTGGCGCCCACATCCACTCGTCTGCCCAGCAGGACCTGCACCTCACTCTGTATTGCCCATGCCACCCTCCAGGTGTTACCGGGCCTGCCCCATTGCTAAGGTACAGCCTGAGAACCATAAAAAGTGTTCTTCAAACAAAAGAAAAAAGAAAACAAAACCAAAAACCTGAGGGACAAGGGCCAAACAGAAGGCTGTTATTTCCAGGGACTTGCATGATTCTAGGCTGCCCCCTTGTGGGCACTTGGAAGAGTCACACCTTCAAATCTTGCTTTCCAGAAATATCTTCATCATCACGCTCAGAGTTGTCATCACCTGCTTTGTCATAACAGGTGACAATCGAGCAGTTACTGCAGACCAAGTGCACTGCTTGGATTTGCTTGGCCCAATCACCCTGTGACGATGGAGGTATTATCATGATCCTCACCTTATAGGTGCAGAAAGGAAGGCACAGAGAGGTTAATTAACTTGCCCAAGGTCACACCATCAGAAGTGGGGAAGCCAGGTTCCAATTGAAGAACCTCATTCTGGGACCCACACTCTAATTACTGTTTCCCTCTGTGGCTCTCCAGCAAAGCAGGAAGCGTAATAGCTTAAGCTTAGTTCCCATGAGTGAAAGTCGTGACCCAGTATCTAAGGCAGGAAACAAATTCCATCCTCGTCCCAGGAATGAGCCTGCAAATTTGGGGAGCAGTGCGAGTCTAAGTCATTACAGAACTAACAGCAAGCACTGCTGGGAGCCACTGCCTAGGCAGGCTAATTATTTGCTTCCTCTTAAACTGATGGTTTGGAAATGTTTGCTCAAGGATGGTTTAGAGAAACTAATGAGGCTGGGTGGGGAAGAAGGGTCGCCAGGGAACCCTGGGGACAACTGCGGCAAGCAATTCTGCTTTGGTGCCACTGAGAGGGGTGGAGTGATTCGAACAGCCCAACATGGGTAAACCTGGAGTTTCCGTACTGTCGTAAGGCAGCCATGAGCCACATGTGGCCATTTAAATTTAACAAAATCAAAATCAAATGCAGTTAAAAGCCCAGTTCCTCAGTCACGCTGGGCACATTTCAGGCACTCAGTAGCCACACGGGGCTGGTGGTCACCGTACTAGACAGCACTGAGTGAGAGGCCTGGTGGCTCAGTCCTGTATTCCCTTTCTTCCCGTTTAGCTGCTCCGGGACACATTTGGAGAAGGAATATCTCTTGAGTTCAATGAGGGTTGAGTTTTGCTGGGTGAGTAGGGCCAGGGGAGGGCCTCATCCCTCCACTAAGCGTCTGCCTCTCCTGATTAAAAGAACTGTCAAGCGCTCTAGTGGCAAAGGAAACAAAAGAAAAAGTAAATGAATGGGACTACGTCAAAGTAAAAAGCTTCTGCACAGCAAGGGAAACCATCAACAAAGCAAAAAAGGCAACCAACAGAATGGGAGAAGGTATTTGCAAATGATATTTCTGATAAGGGATTCAATATCCAAAATATCTAAAGTAACAATCTGATTTAAAAATGGGTAGAAGACCTGAATAGACATTTTCCAAGTAAGACATACAGATGACCAACAGGGCACATGAAAAGATGCTCAACATCACTAATTATTAGGAAAATGCAAATCAAAACCACAATGAGACATCACCTCTCACCTGTCAGAATGGCTATTATCAAAAAGACAAAAAATAACAAGTGCTGGAGACGATGTGGAGAAAAGGTACCCCTTGTGCACTCTTGGAAATATAAATTGGTGCAGTGGCTATGCAGAACAATATGGAGGTTCCTCAAAAAAATTAAAAATAGAACTACTATATGATCCAGCAATTCCATTTCTAGGTATTTATCAAAAGAAAATGAAAACACTAATCTGAAAAGATATATGCATCACCATGTTCATCGCAGCATTATTCTCAATAGCCAAGATATGGAAACAGCCTAAGTGTCCCCTGACAGGTGAATGGATAAAGATGTGGTACATGTATACAATGGAATACTACTCTGCCATGAGAAAAGATGGAATAGTGCCATTTGTGACAACATGGATGGATCTTGAGATTATCATGCTAAGTGAAATAAGTCAGGTGGAAAGGATAAAAAAAGTGTATGATTTCACTCACATGTAGAATATAAAACAAAAGACAAATAAATGAACAACCAAAACCAAACCAAAACAAACAGAGATAACAGATTGGTAGTTACCAGAGGGGAAATGGGGTGGAGAATGGACAAAATGGGTAAAGGGGGTCAATTATATGGTGATGAATGGAAACTAGACTTTGGGTGACGAGCATGCTACAGCGTGTACAGATATCAAATTATAATGTACACTGGAAACAATGTTACTAACCAATGTTATCTCGATAAAAACAAAAAAGAGTTGTCAAGCAAACATTTCCAGAATATCCACTTGAAGAGAAGCCGAATAATTAACTCACATCTTCACATCTCCAACTTCCACCTTGAGACTCCTGATGACCCGCCAGGGGTCCCTGCTGAGAGGCCCTGGGCTTATCCTGAGGGAATATCCTGTGCTTCTGGTGTGAAGTACAAACCAGACAGCCCCTATTTGTTAGGGGCCATGGACTTGACCAGCTATTACCGCTAATGCAACATAGTCAGAGGCATCGAGCTAGACTATGATGAACAGCCCCAGGGCAAGGACCTTAATACCTGAACACTAACGATACCAGGAGACCTCCTCTAAAGGCACAGTACATTAAGAGTTCATGTTGAATTCAGTTCCAAAAGGAAGCCTTCTTTCTGTATGGCCCAAAGTCCTAAAAAAATGTTTCGTTTTCCTACCCAATCACCCCTTGTCCCTTGTATTATATGTGTACACTTGTCTCTCTGTTATTAAATCAGAGTCCCAATTTTATCTCCAAACCCCATGAGAACAGATGGAGAAAGCGCTTGCCAGGGGGCAGGGAAGAGGGACTATCAATGGGCATCACGAAGGGTCCTTGTGGTGATGGGAATGTTCTAACATCCTGGCTGTGGCTGTGGTACAGTGCTGCCAGTTGGCACCACTGGGGGAAGTGGGTAAAGGGTACATGGGATCACTCTGTACTACTGCTTATAACTATGTAAATCTACAATGACCTTAAAATACAAAGTTTCAATTTAAAAAAAATCTGGCCCAGGAGTGAAGCCCTGGGAGCCACCCAAAGACAAAGAGGGAGCACAAGTGTCCCACCCAGGAGAACAAGGGGCGACCATGGCAGAGGCATGTCTGCCCCATTCTTGATGCGGTTAATGCTTCCTAGGACACCACCATTCCAGTAACGCGCA